TACAGACAGGGCAAGGCAAGGCAAGGAAGGAAGAAGCTTGTTCGAGTCAACTGAGTCTTACAGATGAGCTCTCTGCTCTGCTCTGCCCTGCCCTGCCCTATCCTACCCTGTCAGCCTGACTGGGATGATATCCAAATCGGAACCAGACCCCGTCTGTGCCGCTCTGACAGCTGGCGGAGCTCCGACACTGTCTTGTGCAACACAAGTTATTCCACAATAACGAGTAAAGCCAATACAACATAACCATACAATAATTCAACCTATGTCCCTGGTCCTGATTTCTTGGCATATGTCGCTGACTGGTTTCTTACTGTTCATCATGTCTTGTTGGTTACATATCTCACATCTCAGCACACGGCAAATCTTTTCCGTGGACCACAACGATGATGAGATGGGATGGCATATACTAGGACATAACGCTCACGCATAATGGTCCCTTGAGAGAAATCCAATACAGCACTGTACATACACCTCCGTCACCAGCCAATCAGCAAGTGCTGGTTCGACGGTATACGGTTCAGCTCCACCGGCACTTCTCACACCAAACCCGTTGTCGCTGTGATTCCGATGCCCTGGATCCTAGCAATGCAATGGATACATCCTCTGCATACGGGCCACAACCACAGTTACCCAGCTGATGAAACCGGTAGAATGGTATGAGACCTGCGAACAGGTAACCCGAATTGTCAACAGCATGTGGCAAGGTCAAGAAACCTCACTTTAACTCGACTGAACTGAACTGTCAAGGCGCCCTGGAAGATCGACTGGAATTGGAAATGGGGCGCGAGCCAACCTACCAATTAGAAAAGACCCTGTACGAGCTATCAGTCCAGGCCAGGGGAGGGTATCATTGTTGGTGAGAAGAATGCTGATGCGACAATGGCAATGTCAGAGCGAAGATTTACATGGGACTTTTGGCACACATGCCAGCGTAACACTCGTGACGCAAGGCAATGAGTGAATAAGGTATTTGTGAGCTTTACACACGACAGGTCTGTGATATAGGTTAGGTGACTTTTGTGGTTGCCGTTCCTATCACCATACATTGCCATACACACATCATCAGGACATTTGACGATGCATGCTTGAGATGATTTCAATAACAGAAGTTCTTCCAGTCAATACGAAATGCCTTTCTCTTTTCAAGTCAGATATGTAATCCTGCATTTAGGATTCATGTTGGTGGTCTCTGTATTCATCCAAGATCTACACTTGCTGTAAAGGTGTAAGCCTGCATCCGTCGGACAGGTGAACGCATAGCCTATACGGCAACAAACGCTGCATAGATGATACGTTACATGAATAAATGAACACAACTTAGATGGCGTTTGTTGCATTCCATCGACATCACTTCCCTGATCAATCTGACGGAATCTGATTACTGATGTATCACAACATCCCGTAAACTGTATATCTGAAACGTATCTCAATCTTGACTGAGCTATGAGGAAGTTGATGATAATTATATATACGTACGTGAAGATGAGATGTCCTTGGTTATAAAATTGGAAGAACGTCAGGTTCAGTTGCGATATGTGGTGAATTGATCGTATCTTGCTCACCAACTCTACGTCTATTCGGCAGAGGGCTTAAACGCAGGCTCTATACGAGGTTCATAACACTGTTTCCAGTATTAACCTGCGGTTGCTACTGTCGTTTATAGGTGTCGGCCATTAGAGACCAAGGCTGGCGGTTGAAGCCGTCGTATTGATGCTTAAGCCTCCCAGGTATTTGGGGCTGTCTGTATCGTCCGCAGACTACAAGACTAGTAAAGGACATTAAAATGAAGATTCTATAGAAGATTCCTGCCCAGAACTCGTATGAGACTCTTGTTGTATTGGATGTCTGCTCGAGTTCACCATCACAGAGTGCAAGTAGATATACCCATATACCACCGAAGGACTGACTGACTCCTCGTCCGTTGAACTCTCTATGTAATCATGACGCTATGAGGGAAAAAACGAAGAACTATTACCATATGAGTCTCGAAGCTAAGTTGAATATTCAGTGTGTGGTGGTTGAGTTGCCAGCGTCCAGGCTCAGGGGCACAGTGAACAACACAACGACAAAACTCTTGAATACAACAATAAACACATAGCATATGAAAGAGAGATTCACGTAGCTCGAGTCACTGTTAAGCTATATACTCGTTATCTCTAAAGTCTATTTATCCTATACGACTTCTATTCTATCGCTCTAAGTTCCAGCTTGCTTGCAAGAGATAACCCATTTTATGAAAAGAATAATAAGTGTACTTTAAAAACCTAAGCGAGTGAAAGTTTAATAAATACAGAATGTGTGTTAGCATTAACTTGTGCACTATCTCGCTTCTTTTCAGGTAACAGATGGTTATAAATGGGCTCAGCACCAAGACTTCTGATTGCGACTTACCACACGTTTCCAAAATGCCTTATGCATCGATGAAGAGATTCTGGACTACTTCAGCTTTGAGCGAACAAGGTTAAGTAGTTAACCTAAAGACATTGCTTCGCCTATATGTGTATATTCAAACGTCTTTGCCTTCAGTGGCTCAAGGAGATTCCATCAGCCCATCTTGGACTGCACATAGTTTTTCGGGACATAGTCACACTGAACTGATGGGAAATCCTTCAAAAGATAGTGTGCGCTCAAATATGAAGGAAGTCGGTTGTTTCTCTATTACAGCTTACTTCAGAATTTGACTATCAGCGAGGAGTTTGTAGAGGAGATGACCATGCATGGGTGACTGGTGCCTCTATCTCAGTATCTTAGACACACAGTCTTCTCCAAAAGGTATCCGAGATCTAAATGAGACTATTCTAACTGTTGTATGGTAACTGGAAGGAGATCACATACAATCTGCTGTCTTGCCTCGACATCTTGCTGGGGAGAGAAGAAGACGGGGTGATATATCGACCACATTTTCTCGTTATCTGCAATTGAAGAAACACAGAGAAAAGTGAAGCACATCAGAGTAACTCTAATAATTCTATTCTAGTGAACACACCATGAAACCTAGCATTAAAGCGAGAGCTTGATCGGAACACAGAAACACCAATGCTGTTGTCACTCGTACATTGCTGAACAGGTGTAACAAACCCAAGACTCCTTGATGCGTATAAAATTATATCAGGACAGGCTAGTTATAGCACGAGAGCTTTACGAAGTGTTTGTTCACTGACTTGATAGCTCACACGTTCTCTCTTATGACAACTTGAAGGGTATGTGATGCAAGCAGGCGATTAGAACAAACCATATACATATCAGACATTCGAGTTCCGTGATCTCACGGCGGTGAATCCGTTCAAAAAGGATAGTGGACAGATTGGTTGTTGATACTTGAGACGGAATTCACAACAAATATGTCCAAATACCGATGTCTTGCACCATCACGAAGATAACCGTAAGAACAGACCACATCTTTGATGTTGATCTCACGCCACTCTAGTAAAGAAGAATGGTATAGACAGCCATGCGGGTGAAATCGCTTGGATGAAGAAACAAAGTCGTACGAGTAGTTCTGCAATTCGACAACCAACAAGCCGAAGACTGCGGTTTATTGGACGGGCTATTATGCACCGGGTTTCGGATTCTACGTGGGGTAAAAGACCGAATGAATAAATACATGCTAATGGAATTGTCGATCGCATTGATGTTCGATTTGATGATATAAATCTAGGCATCTCTTGATGTGAGTTGTAATCTTGGACTTTTATACTCACTCACTGCGGCATATCTTGAGTTACCAATTCACAACCCAAAATGACAACGCAACTCACTTCCCTCACCAACTTTTTCCGTGACCTCACATCGAGGAACAGATATATCGTCATCGCAGTAGCAAGCGCCCTCGTTGGATTTCCAGTCTTGCGTATCGCCGCTGAAGATTACCGTGGATATATCGCTCTCGGACCCGGCGGACCTCCTCATAATGTCATCGGATGGCTAGGACAGATTCTCCTAAAGCCACTCAAGAAGGAGCCCCTTCATACGAGTTGCTATGATGAGAAAGCTATAAAAGCTGCTGGTCCGAATGGAGGTGTTGCGTTTCTGAATGAGAAGGATGTTCCTGTTCGAGAGGCGCCGAGACCAAAGATTGGGAGTTGGACTGCGCCGAGTCGACAGTTGACTGATTTGGCGAGTAAAGATATCATTGAGGTATGTTCTCATAGCGAAACTACTCGATAGTGTTGCTGACTTTTGCAGGCCTATCAATCGTTCCTCTCCACCCTAGCATCAGAGTCACCCACCAAGCTCAAAATCGCATCTTCTACTCTCGAGCGCCACGGCCCAGCTCTTTTTGTAGCATCAGATAATCCTTCCCATCCTATTGCGAAGAGCATGTACAGAGAGATTGGGCACATGCACGGCAGTGATGGTTCATTGCATCTCAACTTGGCGCCCAAAGATGCCAAGCTGGTGCTGGAGAGGGGCTGGGGCCAGCGTCATCCTTTGGCTGGTACGGTTTTGTACCTGGGGGATATTATGGTTTATGCTCCGAGGAGTGAAGAGGAGCTAGAGGTTGTAAAGGGGATTACCAGGGCAGCTGCTAAGTTTATGCTCGGGGAGGAAGCTTGAGGAAGAGTGTATCATAAGGGAATGGAGGGGGACATGTCGGGAGGAGTTTACTGTACTTGATAATCATGTTTCTTTTTACGTGCTTACTTTACTGTATCGGCAGCGATATTCTCATGCATTTGGATGTATGAAATTAATATTATGTGTGTTATGATGGAGAAGTGACGAGCAATCGATGGAGGGACAGTGTAAAACTCAACGTGAAGTAGTGGAACGAAGAAAGCCCAAGAATACCAACGATATGCTCTTGAGCGAAGCCAAAGTGTGTCAATAACAACAATAAGTATCTTGAATATTAATAAGATGAGACCCGAAAAACACCAAAGAATCATGTTGTGTTACCTGTGAGCATCTGTGGGTGGATATTGTATCATACCACAGGGTAGGTAGATTTCGTTAACCCTATATAAGTCCCAATCTGTGCAATTCCTTCACCACAAAAAAGCAGCTTGGCGCAGTGGAAGCGCGGTATGTTTAATAACTACTCCTCAAGCAATCAACAAATGACTAACTTGTCACAGCCGGGCTCATAACCCGGAGGTCACTGGATCGAAACCAGTAGCTGCTATGGTTCTATTTTTTTGCATTTTCTTTTTCTTTATCCTTATCACTGACTCACAGCTGGTCGAGTACATGTGCCCTAACAAGAAACCAATTCGCCACCACAGAAAAGCAGCTTGGCGCAGTGGAAGCGCGGTGAGTTTACTTTACATTCTTCAACAAGATGAATTCGAGATTCTAACTTCTCATAGCCGGGCTCATAACCCGGAGGTCACTGGATCGAAACCAGTAGCTGCTATTGGTACATCTTTTTTTTGCTCTTCCTTGTGATGTTTTTGTCATTGGGTACGTTGTTTGTGGTTACACCACGGATATAAGTCACCCAACGAACATATCATCCATAGATACAGTGCTTAGAGCTAGCTTTCTTTTTTATATGTTCGAATCATATCTGAATAAGTCACTGATTACACCTCGCTCTGACTTGTGTAAACAGTCCATTATTGCTGCTTTACTGACACGCAGTTTAACATGACATACTATGGTACATCTTCTATCTCCAACATTCGCTGTCCCTGGTGTAAAAGTAAAGAGTTAGATATTCACTAGCAATATCACATGAGACTACTGTCAGTCGAGCCTAACCATAGAGTTACTGTGCCCAGTCAGTACCACTAACATGACAACCCATCGTGTGCTCTGTTGGTGGATCTATCACTGACAGCCTTGACCTAAACCCGTCTAGCCTTGACGACTGCCGGCTGATCTGATATGCACTGAATCGTGTCATGTCATGTATGTCTCTCTTTTGAGGTTCAACTGCAGTCAGGAGAGGATAGTGGATGTTTATGCAGATGCAAAGAGCTCGGCCACCAGAGTGAACATTGACTTAGAAGAGACTGGCGATTTTTGCATTGGGACTCGTAATCAGCATATCTAACATCTATCAGTTTACTGTAACGTTACTGTAGTATGCTTTGCGGGAACGCTATGTTGAATATATTGTCATGATTCGTTGAGAAGGTGGCCACCATGACAAGCGAAACTCCCTAGCAGCCTACGAGTCTTTGCTGTACAGGTCTTGTCATGCAGACAAATACGTTTCCAGACAGTATTCCGTCTTGGATATCTCGTCTAAAGATTCTAACCAAGATCGGGTGACTCATGCCTGCCATGTTGTTGTCACTATTCCCATCATGAAGTGTTCTACTCGCTTGTGGGTATCATCAGTCAAAACTTCCCAGGATATGAATTAGACGTGGCACTAAAACAAATGCAAGCCGATCCGATCTGGGCAGGTTCGTTTTGTTTCAATCTTTCTTTGATAACCACTTTTTAAAGTAACGATATAAGCTCTGGCGGTGTAAGGTTGAAGCTTTTTTTTTTTTTTTAAAGAGGTACAGTACAAGGGTTTGAGGGGCAACTCCTCTTCTTTTTTTCCCACAACAACGTGGGCCAGAGCGGGACGGTGGACGGGACGGGACGAAAGTAAATAGAAAATGGGCAGAGGATTAGAAAAAAGGGTTCCATATTGACTTTGACCTTTTTCAGCCCTATAGCAACGGTGATGCATTGGGTGAGTCAGGCTAAATGGGAAAATTCTTCGAAGAACAGAACAGGACAGCGAATGTAGACTACATGGTTGAGGTGGCAGGTTGAGTCACGGATTCGCCCATGTAAATCGGGCCTTATAGGATAAGAGAAGAAGTTTGAATGTAACTGGGCATCAATGAAGAGTTTTCAAGGTGCGTAAGTGGTTCTCTACAGGCAGCTATATAAACAATAGTCTGTAGTAGGTAGTCTAGACTCTTGATATCCGTATGTTGGACATCAATACTTACACAACACAAGTGGATAGATACAGTACAGTACTACAAGGATATTAACGAGTTTCTTTTCTTTTTTTCTCCTCTCGATAATAATTAAGCTCAACTCACATCATTCAAGCTCGTCAACATTACTGAACCGTGCTGTCCCAAGCGAGTCGGATATCTCAAGGAGGGTATTTACCCCTGTCGAACCAAGACAATTGAAGTTTCTGTTCAGTTCAAGAGCCGCCAGATGCGCATAGCATGTACATTTACATGTACAGATACATGCACATACTGTATGCACAATCACCAAAAGAGACTTTTTATTCAGGGGGAACCACTTTGTTTCTCCTCTTCAACTGCACTTACTAAGTGCATCTATCCAACCGGCTTAGAGTCTCAAGCAAACACCAAGGAAAAGATCCCCGCGCATTAGGCCCTAGAGCCAGACTTGTTACCTCTCAACAGTGATCTTAGTGGAGAGAGAACCCTTGAAACCCGGCCTAGCCAGCCACTCGAATTACGGTGAGCGGATTCTGCTACTGTACGACTTGCATGTTCCGCGTGTTCCTCTTTCTCCTCTCTACTCTCTACTCTCTACTCTCCACTCCTGCAGCTTCAATAGGTTCGATACCATCAAGACATTATCGAATCAGCAGCTACTGTAGCTCTTTCTGACTTGCATCTGCAATTGTTCGCATATCACCCTTTACTCGTTTTGTTCCTGATTTTCTCTTTTCTCTCTTCATTTTCTCTCACACTCACACTCTCAATTATCTATCTATCCCTTGCCTCGATCATCTTGGGTTGTTCTTAATTGAATATCAGCCAATGCGCACAGATCAATAAATTCAATTACCTTGCTCTCTCAACTCCCCTGCTTCTTCTTCTTCCCCTCCTCCTCCTCCACTACAAACCACCAAAGAACAAGAAGAACAAGACAAAATGGGTTTCCTCGACTGGAACGACGGAGCTTCAGTGCTCTCAACTCGAACCTCATCCCGTCGCCATAAATCATCTCGCTCTCACAAGAAGCATCGCTCACGATCAAACTCGAGCGAGCGCGGCCGCGGCTTCGCAGAGTCCCTCTTTGGTGGCGACAATTACAAAAAGAACAGTTCGTCGCGCGCTTCCTTCTTTGGTCTCGGAGGCAACAACAGCAACCGTTCCAGCTTCTTTGGAAACAGTATGTTCATCTTCTCCTTAACGCGATTACTACATTATATTAACTGACTCGCCTACTAGGTCGCTCCTCTTACTACAAGCGCTCCCCTCGTCAGGGCTTCGTCCAAAAGACATACAAGCAGCTCAAGCGTCTCCTACGCGACCTGGTCCACTGGGCCAAGCGACACCCATGGAAGGTCTTCTTCATGGTCATCATGCCCCTCATCACCGGCGGAGCTCTGACTGCTCTCCTCGCCCGCTTCGGCCTGCGCATTCCCCCAGCCATTGAGCGCATGCTCGGCGTCGCCTCCAAGGCTGCCACAGGTGACTCCTCTGGCCTTGTGGGCGAAGCTGTTCGCATGGCCAGTGGTTTTGGCGGCAACACCACTGTTCGCATGGAGCGCGATACGCACACATTCGGCAGTGGGGGAGGCGGCTTCGGTGGAGGCAGCGACTCTTCCTGGGGTGGTCTCGCTGACATGGCCAAAAAGTGGATGTGATGTGCTTTTTTAAGCGAGCGAAGCGAAATGGCGTCTTTTTGCTTTGGTATGGATATTGGATAGGTATGGACTGGGTTGGGTTGGGCTGGACTGACATGGATGGAATATTCATTGACTCACTGACATAATTTGACGATACGATACGCAATTGGGTTATTATTATGCCCCCCGGCGTTGCAGGAACCGGACTTGTTCATTATTATTTTTCTATTTGGGAGGATTACTGTGCTCACATCACCATCTTTACTCAAGTGGTGATTTTATTACATAGACACTGCATACATTGGATAGCAGCATTCTTGATCAAATACAATTTACGACTTAATGACCCCTGACATCTTGGGCTCTTGTCTGTGCCTGTGCCTATCCCGAGAATGTGATCGACAGCACCAAAACTCTGCACCGGCATTCTTCAAACCAGACCATCCGATCAAGGCCATAGACCATACCTCACTCACGCAGTCTCGAGTCATCTTGGTTGAATACTCAGCACTATGTTCATTACTAGTTCTGTCCATTTCTCACCCGCCTCCGCAATATACCTCTAGTAGCTAGCCACATCCTATGTCCCACTATTTCTTGCTGTCGGCAGCAGCACCAAGAATGCCAGCCAGAAGCATACCCCGGGAATCTAAGCCACCATCTGACCCGACTCGCAGCAGCGTGAGCCTATGTCAGATACCAATGCTAATCATGCAATCATTAACCTCTGCGCCCATTCCTATCCATAATCCAAAATTCTGATAAATCAATCGATCCAAGGCTTGCCCATACATCTGCTGGTACCTTGTTTGTTGATCGATGTTGTTGTTAAGTTTGACATTACTCGGTGCAAAATTCGCACATAATGTGAAGTTGGCTAGCCGTCGACATAAGGCTGCTCGACGGCCAACGCGTGAAAATAAGTATTGTACACATGCTCGCTTGTAAATACAGCGACGCTGTCATAGAACGCCAACGCTGGTAGGATGTCTTCAAGTCGCATCTCCTCTTCATTATTTAGCTTCGCCTTCTTTCTCCTTGATGGTTTCTTTCTCCTTAGTAGGTTTCCAGAACTGCATCATGCGACCCAACTTCTTTGTTCGGCTGCTCTTGGGCTTCTTGCTCTCATCATTGTCTAGTGTGACTTCCATCGAAAGCTTGCTTCGCTCACCATGAGAGCTGCTAATGAGACGGCTGAGACTGGCAAGGCTCGACCTTCGGCGTCCGAAGGCCGATGACACTGAAACAGGACGAGGTTCACGAAGGGTGGGTTGTGATTGGCGCTGGCTAGGGAGGAACATACTCTCTCGCGTCATTGTGGAGTTGCTCGATGTCAGTGAAGGAATATCATAATCCACTGACACTCGAACTTCGGGGCCAGGCTCTCCCATAAGCAGCAGAGATCGGAAGTTGTTCTCGTCAGCGACCGATGAGGGAGCTGTCGAGATTCGCTGCACGTCAACAGACATGGGCGACCTTGGCGAGGGGAACGAAGACGAATAGCTCATAGCGTAAGGGCTGGTTGGTGCATGTGCTGGAGCGGGAAGATGCAAAGGGCTGACTTCACCAGGAGAGAGATCCTTGTTGCCAGAGAATCTTCGAAGTGAAGAGTGGGCAGAGTCGGCAGTGTCACATCGTTCTGCAGGCATGAAGGGTGATCGGAAGATGACGCTTGGCAGCTCCTCGGCGATGACACTTTCGTGTAGAGATGACCTTGAACGCTCACCTCTGACCGTGTTGGCGGAGATTTGGTCTTTGTCACTCAGACTGGAAGTTGTTCGTCTCATGGGCTGAGAAGAACTGTGTACTGACAGCTTATCCTGAGAATTGCGAAGAGGATC